CGAGTTCATCACTTTCAAGACCAGCTTTGGCACACAAAAGAAAAATTAGGAGGAACCCAATAGAAGGATGCTTTTGGAAGCTCAAATCAAGAAATTCCAATGGACTCTGATATGAACACTTGAAATTTGCCCTGTTCTGACTTTTTTCAGGTGCCCTGTCTAGACCTTGTAATGCTAACTACTTTTGCCTTTACTTCTCCTTCACATCTCCTATTCACCAGTCATAGGACTTTCTTTTCTCCCTACAGATAAGAGTTATGCAATTTGGGAGTCATTTAGATAGACCCACTGAAGGGGTATCCCAATTGTCTCACCCTGTATCCCTGTTCAGCACGGAAGAAGTCAGAGTGGTCTGTGTCCTGCTTTCCCATCAGCAATTTGGGTAACCTCTTCAGAGGATGGTGTGATAAGAATAGGAGGTAGGAATTGACTAGGCAGTTAGGGTAAAAATCCCCAAAGAAAAGTAGCCAGTTTCTTGGCTAAAAGTCAAAATGGCTTTGGGCCTCTTAGCAACATACTCTGTTCCAAAGGCCAAAAATATCAAAAGTATTTGGGAGCTTTTATCTAACCCCTAAAAGATTTTAGGGTTACCTCTTCAGAGGGGGGAATGTTAATTTATTACTTATCTTTTGTGTTTAATTTGGAATCCATGTTTTTTAGTAAAGTAAATGCTACATAGTAAATACATAGTAAATGCTACATAGTAAATGCTACATACTCTTCTGAGTCAGACATCTGCCTTCTTTATGACTTCAGCTGTGCTTGCTTGCAAAAGATCATCATAATCAAACTTTTCATCATCATGTTTTGGGTGCACCTACTTTTCATGTAATTAGGTCATATATGTGTTTTCATGTGTTGGGATCTCACATCATGTGTGTCTATGGTAATTATCATCATATATTGTTTCCATCTATAATTTAAAAAAAAAAGGGCCACTTCAGTTTTTTGTGCATAAAAATGATTGATTTTATTTTTATTTTAGTATGCCCAATTAAAATGCACATGTATAGATTTATAAATATGGGCATTTTGATGATGCATTCAAAGACCTTATAAATTTGGGTACACTAAACATCTTTAAATCTATTAGTGTCTATAGGTCTATTAAGTACTCCATGAAACTTTTAAATGCTGTTTATACAAAACAGCATCTGAGCTGGTTGTTTACGGATCCCATTTGTTAGACACCTTTCATGATTTTGGTTTGCTTTGAGTGTTTTAAGGTATCTATTGTGCTTGTTTGCTTTGACAGTATTTTAGCTTCAGCATTCATTTTGGGTTTTTTTGCTTTGGGGCCTCTGAAGGCATGTTTGATTCTAACCATTTGTTAAAATTTGCTAGCAGTAATTTTTTTTTTCTTTTCCACTGGATACTTCTCCCATATATAATCTGAGAAATGGAGAAACATTTTGAGAAAACCAAAGTCCAGCTGGTTGTAGGTTTGACTTGTATGTAAACTCATCTTCAGAACTAAAGATGAATTCTAAGACTAGTTTTCCTACCTCATCTTTTTCTGACCTTGCCCGTTCATTCTTTATCTCCTACTGCAAAGCTCTGTATATTTTTTAAAAAGACCATTTTTCTTCTGGGAAGCTCTACTGACTTGGATATCACACACACACACACACACACACACACACACACACACACATACACACACACCCCTCCCCAGAACAACTTTTTTGCCTATAACTCTGGTGCTTAAGTCTGAATTAAATTGTCTTCATTATACTAGCCATTCTTAAGATTCCCTTCAGCAACTAAAGCCAGGAATCCTGGTTCAGCATGAGTGGAGGTCTCCAAAACTTAGGAGAACGCCTCAGACTTCTAAGGATGACCACACGCAGCTATGTCTCAGTCATTCCTGAAGTTTCTGGGCACTCCTAGTGATATCCATTTTGAAGCCTTCTTGGTGAATTTCCTGTCTGTCACTTGTATGAGCTATCCTACTAAGCACTTCAGGTTCCTTTGCTTCTGTTTTTCTGGCCCAAAACCACTTAAAAATTCTCTAGACACATCCATACTCTGGTACCTGAGTCAGATACAGTAGCATGTGGCTTCTTCTGGGGTACATCATAAGAGCTGATCCTTAAGATGGCCTAAGCCAGTCTCTTGCCTCCAAGAGAACAGCTTGAGACAAAATGAGATAACTACAACATGTTCAGAATAACTGCTTTTAAACTTTATTCTTAACCTGAAGTCTTAATGATTCCTTACTGTTCTTCCTGTCACCTCTGATTTATGTAATGCTAATAGCTTAGACAAGGGGAACTCTGCTGATTTCATGTGTAAAGTTATCTCCTCCTATAAGAAATAATAAACTTTAGTCTTTTCCTTTAAACCCTGTAAAATTTAAAAGTTGGTTTAGGATACATCTTAAAGTTTATAGATAATCTTAGTGTGTTACATGATAATAGTATATTTGAGATAATTGTTCATCCCTCTGTATGTATGTATGTGTGTATAGAGATATATACATTTTAAGGGGGTAAATATTACTTAGTACATCTTCACAACAAATGGTAAATTTGTTTGCAAATGCTATTATGTCTATGGCTGGATGTTTCAAGAATAGAAGGGATAATAAGAATGTTTGAGCAAGTTTATTGAAGGTCTAAGAAGGTTTATAGAGATAGAGTCATTATTATAATAATTGCTGTTGCAGCCAATAATTTTCAGTCCACTCCTCTGACTTGGACTGCACACCCAGTTGTAGTATTAGATTGAATGGAAGCAGATAAGTGTTGGGATTATCTGTAGCTACTAGAAAATGTCCTTTATATTTCTCTGTATTACATAAGTGTTACTTTTGGTGTTTTCCTTTGACATAACAAAATAATTTGACTTGCGAGGAGCTAGGTTTTGCTTCCCTGTACCAGATGGGTACAGTCCAGAAGGAAATAGTTTTGGTGAGCTTGGTCTAAATCCTGATCAGCTTATTTCCTTGTCTGTAGGTATGGTATATGACCTCCCCCTCTTTCTGAAAAAGTATAAATCAGGGTATGGGGGTGCTGGGAAAGAAAGGAGACTGCTTCTGTTTGTAGTAGAAGAGTCTTCATTTGAGATAGAGCTATGAAAATTGTTTTAAAATCCCTTTCCTGGGCTATGCCTACTTGACCTGTGATGGTAAATCTCTTCTTTCTCTGACTTAGGCCATAAAAGCTCAGCTCCTCATAGAAACCTACAATGATAAAGATTCCACTCTTGTCACAATCTCGGTTTCTAAGGTCAAAGTTCAGTTAAACCTTTTTTAAATTCTTATAAAGGCTAACTTAAGGAACAGAATATATGTCTAGTTAGGGTTTATTCAAGAATGTTTGGTTTTTTTCTACACAGTAAGTAAAAGTACCAGAATGGTGTAACTAACCTTCTTGGATGTTTAGTAACCAAATTTAAAGGTCTATACTAATCTAGTCAGAGGGACTTAAAAGGGCAATTTTTTTTTTTTTGTTGTTCCTTGCCCTCCAAGGTCAGCTAGTCCCAGGGGACTATGGGGCATCTCAAAATATCATATAGTTTGGATGAGTCACCTGTCCTCCTGTTCAGGGAGGCCATGGCAGCACCACTAGAGGAACTCAAACCAGTGTCCAGTCTATAAAGAGGAGGGTCAACAGAAGAACGTTTCCTCAATGCTCCCAAGACAAGCCATGGTTGAGCAGGACCTTTGATTTATCCTCACATAGATGGAACTGGTAAAAGGAAAGTCAAAGGAGCCAAGGGCTTCCCCAAAGCCTGAGCAACCCCTAAGGATCAGATCCTCAACTGACCTTGAAAAAAAACTTGGTTAATTTGGGCCAACTATATGGTATTAAACACCCAAAAGGAAAGCATAAACAAAGATTAAAGTGATCATTATGCTTCTTTTAGAGTCTGAGGGATTAGACTTCCCAGATATTAGACCGAAGTCCATATGAGATGTTATTTTAAAATTCTCACTAAATTTTTCTCCTTGATAAGAAAAATGCTACTCAGATATAAGAATTCAGACTTTGACCCAATTCAACATTGCAGTAAACACCTGCAGCTAAGGGAGACCAGCCTACTATTGTTCTTGTATAAAAACTAAATGATGGCTAAATTTCTCTTCTTTCCCTGTCTAGAAGCCACTGCAGGGGATGGGGGGCTCACACTGTAATTCTGGCCACTCCAACAGCCATCCAGGTATCTGAAAATAGATCCTGAATTCATCACTCTCAAGTCCAGCCAAGATGGCCAAAAGAAAAATTAGGAAGAGCACAAAAGATAAATGCTTTTGGAAGCCCTCATCAAGAAATTCTAATGGACATTGATTTGGACATGTAAAATTCACTCTGTTCTGACTTTTTCTGGTTCCCTGCCTAGAATTTGTAATGCTAACTACTCTTGCCTTTACTTCTTCACATTATCCCAGACACCAGTCAAGGATTTCTTTTCTCTCTATAGCTAACAGTTAAACAGCTTTGAGGTCTTTTAGATAGACCCACTGAAGGGGCACTCCAGTTGCCATGCTCTAAACCCCTATTCAGCATTGAAGTTGACAAAGTAGTTGGCACCCCTATTCCCTATTGTCAATTAGAGTTACCTCTTCAGAGGGGGGGAATGATGACAGCAAGAGGTAAAAATTGGCTAGGCAGTTTTAGGAAGAAGAGCCCAAAAGAAAAATGACCAGTTTCTTTCTCAGCTGGGAGCTGGAATTCCATTGGCTCTGCCAGTAAACTTGTCTCTACCTGAGGCTAGAAATTATAGAACTATCCAATCCAAAGATGTCTCTGATTCTGCCATTATCTAGAGACTGGGGATACCAATAAGGGAGTCTATTTTGTCCCATATCTCTCTTTTTCCTGTCCTGGAAGACATGCTGAAGATGTGACCAGAACTTCAATGAATATAGACAACCAGAATGAGAACTAGACTGATCCGTTCATCTCCCCTTCCCCTGTCCCTCTACTAAACATGTATTGACTCCTGAGTAATGAGACTATTGTACTATACTTAATCAACTGTTTTCTTCTCCAAAGATTCTTATAGATCTTCTGACCGAGCAGCCCATATGACTGGCCAAGTCAGTACCTGAGACCAAATTAAGGTTATGTTCCTGCTTCATGCCACCAGAGGAATCCTTCTCAGTCAAGAGAGAAAGATGACCTCCCCCTTCTCCTTTTCTTTTTATGTCTTGGCAATGTCATTCACATTCATGCTCACATGGTACTGACTTTAGAAGCATGAAGATCAGGAGTGAAGGAGTCATTGGTTCTTCCCCCACTGTTTCAAGGCCAGGCAGCATACACCAGGGGCATCCCTGCATAAAGGTCCTCACAGGCCAAGAGGCCCTGATAGGTCAAGAGGCCCTGACAGGCCATTGTGTGAAGTTGTGAAGGTGAAGCCTGATTGGCAGTGGAGCCCCCAAGAAGATGTTGAAGATGCTAGAACCATGAGACATCTACCAAGGAAAGCTGCCTACAGAGAGTAGTACCAACCTGAGAGAGATGCATGTTGCATGCAGCAAAAAGGGCATGGGGGCTAAGCCATCTAAGCCCTTTGGAAGTAAGGTCCCAGAAGTTGGACATGGAGCTACTGGATTTAGTATTTTCCCTGCTGGTTTTCAGTTTGATTTGGTCTGATACTTCCTCACTATGCCTGCATTCCTCCTTTTGGAATGGGAATGTGTATTTGGTTCCATTGTATGTTGAAAGTATGTAATTTGTCTTTTGATTTTACAGGGGCTTATAGTTAAGATATTGCCTTGGGTCTCAGGAGAGACTTTGGACTCTGGACTTTTGACTAGTATTGAGACTGGTAAACACTATGGGGACTTTTTGAATGTGAAATAAATGCATTTTGCATTTTATATGGTAATGAGCCTATGGGGGCCAGGGAGTGGAATGTGGTGGTTTGAATGAGACTGTCTCCCAAAAGCTACAAGTATTTGAACATTTTGTCCCCAGTTAGTCATGCTGTTTTGGGAAGCTTTAGGAGGTGTGGCTAATGACAGAAGAAGCACATCACTGGGGGTGGGCTTAGAGAGTTCTTAGAGAGCTCTCGTGGGATTTCTAGTCATTCTCTGCTTCCTGTGCCTGCTTGAACATGTGAGCCTCTGCTTTCTGCTCCTGCTCCAGCCATCTCCTGCCACCATGCCTCTGCACCATGACAGATTCTAATTCCTTGGGAATCATAAGCTCAAATAAATTCTTCCTTTCATAAATTCACTTGATCAAGGTGTTTTATTATAGTAACAGAAAAGAAACTAATACAATGAGCTTTTAACCCCTAGTCTTCTAGCAGTCTATTCCCAGCTGCCTCTGGATCTTCACTAGGGACATTTCAGGCTGGCTCTTGTCACAGTGTCCACACCAAGACTGTGGATTTGCTTCCTCTTCAGCCTTCTGTCTCTCGATTCTTGAACATAACATGCTCCCTTCATTCAAGTCTCATGAGTTTTGCATATTTTCCTCTCAGCTTTTCTCCACACTGCAGCCTGAAAACCATTCTCAGACAAACTCCGTGCACACATTTTTCCAAGAAGCTGTTCCTATTTCACTGCTTTGCCCTGTGATTTCCCAGTCTGATGTCCCAAGCAGTCTAATCAGTAGCCCCTCCCCCCAATTTTTATTAGGAAGCTTAAGTACATATTTAAATATTAACCCTTGATTATACATCATTTTTAACAGATGTATAAAGCATTTCTATATAACAAAGATGTGACTGCCTTAAAGAAAAACACTTGTATAATTGAGCTGTGAGCTTTTTTCCTCATGAAATGTTATTTTTCACATGAAAGAATGACTGACAGAAAAATATGGTTATCCAGATTTGAGTATTTTCTTAAAAATAAATGAGTCTGTCATTTCCAGGAAAACTTGACAGTATTGAAGGTGAGCTTTACAGCAAAAATTAGAATTTAGGAAGTTTGTGTCTAGTACTGTGAGCTTGACGATTTGTGATATGGTCAATTTGTCTGCACATTCTTTGATAAATCTTCCTTCAAGAGATAAACACTACTTTTTCACTAGACTATCGCTGAACACATGAGCTATCATATTGAGATTAGATTATAAACTGTGCCTCCTGACTAAAGTCTCTCTGTCTCTCTCCCTCCTCTCTCTCCTGCTCCTTCCCTCTCTCTCTCTAATTATTGTGATAATTCCAAGGTTGTGAGGAGGCAATCCTGAAAAAGGGAAGCTAGCTGAGGACACCTATGTATCCTAAGAGGCCATGTGGCAAGAAACAGCAGCTTTCTACTATCCAAGTGTGTGAACTTGTAAATGGATCTTCTGAAGTTTGCCACAGGCACAGGAGTTAACTTAGAAATGAACCATCCTAAGTTGACCCTTAAGATTACTAAAGCCAAGTTGACTGCAGCCTCTTGAAAGATCTAGAGAAAGATCACCAAACTAATTCATTCCTAAATTCCTGACCCAAGGAACTGTCAGATTCTAAGAATTTGTTGCTTTAAGTTATTGAGAGTTTGGGATAATGCAATAACTTCCCAAAATTTAAAGACTTTCTGATTGAACCAGTGGTGATTAATCTTTTGTTTTGTTTTGTTTTGTGTAGGTCATTGTATGATTATGTCAATGGGAAATCTCCATAACTCAGAAAACCAATATTAGTCAAGTTAATCAGTGCATGATGTTACAAAATCATACATTAGTAAAAGTCATTCAAGGGTAGCTGGCTGTGTAAACATGGTGATCTGAATGCAGATCCACAACATCCTATTAAAAATTGGGTTGAGGTGTGCGTATATAACTGAAGCCCTTGGGGAGTGGGGAGCAGAGACAGGCAGATCCTGTGCACTTGCTAGCAAGCCAGCCTAGTCAAAATTGCAGGCTGTGGGTTCATGGAAAGATGCTATCTCAAAACACACACACACACACACACACACACACACACAAATAAAAAATTAAAAAGAGCCATTCAAAGTGCTCAAGATAGAGCAACAAGTTTTAAAGCAACCAGGTATAAAACAAGTTTTAATGTAACCAGATATAATGTAACCTCCAGCACTCGGGAGGCAGAGCCAGGCGCATCTCTGTGAGTTCAAGGCCAGCCTGGTCTACATAGTGAGTTCCAGGCCAGTTCTGGCTACAGGGAGACCCTGTCTCAAAAAAGACCAGAAAAAAAAGTGTTCTGATGTGGATTATTGTAGGAAACCAGGATGCCAGGCCCTAGGGTGAGATGAGCCTAAAACTTTTAAGCCCAGGCTACATTCTCTGCTAAAGGAAGGGGTGCTGAAAACAGTACCTTTGATAATCCCTGTCATGCAGAACACTGCAAGACTGGCATGAGAAAGCAGCTGGGTCTTAAGTGCAGGCTTCTTGCTCTGTGGGAAAGTGTCTTGGTCAACAGAGCATCTCCCTGTCCTGAACAAATAACTTAGCTGTCATTAGCTAAGAGATTAGGCCAGGTTAAAGGTTTACTCCTGAGCTAAAAGCAAAAAGTTTAACATGCTTTTAGCCCTAAGAAAGAAACCATTGTGGCCAATAAATTGCTGGACAGGCATTGGTAACCTTGAATAAAAGTTTAAGCATCCTTCTGGTGCCAACTATATGTCCTGTTTCTTTGTGCCCTAAATCTTTGTATGTGACTGCCATATCCCACATGACTGCCAGTTCCTTGTAATGTATAAAAATCATCTGAATTTTGTAATAAATGGCTTATGTGAAGGAAATCAATTCCGAGAGTTGTTATTCTGTCGCCCATCAAGCCTCTCTGGCCCAGAAGCAAGGTTCCCTGATCCATTAGAATATACATTGTAACTAACCTTTATGAAGCTACCACTTGTTGAGTACTGATGTAAGGTCAACAAATATCCACAGTTACCTAGCAAAACTTAAAATTCTCCTTTCTTTTGTAACTCTATAACTGTGTGAGGCAGGATTTTCTTAATGTATTTCAAGTAAAACAATGTGATGTAACATATTCGGAAGCAGATATGAGAAGCAGATATGAGAAACCATATATGTCTATGAAACCAGATACGAAAGAAACTTGCAAAAATAAAAATAGCACTCAACTTGCTATATTTTTCATTTTGGAAACTATTTTTTCATAAAAACATTATTATTGCTATTTTAAATGAATTATGTCATTTACCTATTGCTGTATTAAAAAAATTACTCCCAAATTTAGAAGCACAAGGCAGAAAAAGTTATCTGATTGTTCTGGTAGGTGATGAATCAGGTTCAATTTGGCATCTCTGATTCAGGGTCACAAAAGCTGTAATTTCACCCAAAGCTTGGCCAAGGGAAGCTGTGCTTCTAAACCCATTGTGTAGCCATTGACAAGGAAACAATTCCTTTCTGATTTTGGTTACTTGCTGTGTGGGTCTCTCTAAAGAGCATGTCACAATATGGCAGGAGCTGAGAGAAAAGGAGACTATGAGAGGAAGGGAAGAAGGGAGGGAGTACAGGGAGTGGGGAGGAGGTACAGGAGGAGTGGCAAGAGGAGAGAAGAGAAGGGGATTGTACAAGGCATGATTCTCTGAAAGCAGTAATCATAGGGCCCATTTTAGAAGCAGCTTATCATATGGGTTAGTAAATATTTTATAATTTTTATATTATTTTCTAATAAAGTAATTACCAATAGGTATCACACACACACACATACACACACACAATGCTGCTTGTGTTTCTCAATAATATGCAAGTATGAACAGTTTTTAAAAGTATAGGAGTGTAAAATCTTGCTTCCTACAGGGTAAAGATATAGGCCATTGCCAGGTGTTGATAATACATCTCTTATTTTTTGTCATTATTCATAACTATAACTCTTTCCTAAACAACAGTATTCATAATAATTTTATTAGCCAATACAGAAATACATACAGAGATATAGCAGATTTTGTCAAATGCATGTAGAAAGCCATAGTGATATCAAAACTTCTAAGTGCTACATATTTACCACATATCTGAGACTACTTCATGTTTTAAATTTTAATAATACCTATTCCACATATTAAATTCTTAGATTGTCAGTATTCAAGAAATGGTGACTTGATGTGATTTGTTGTTGTTGTTGGCTTACTGCTTCAAGTCCTCTAGTACTGTCTAGGGGTAACAAGGGTCTAGAGTTGTTTCTAATGATTTAAAAATTGTCCAACGTGGTGGCACACGCCTTTAATCCCAGCACTCAGGAGGCAGAGGCAGGCAGATCTCTGTGAGTTCGAGGCCAGCCTGGTCTCTATAGTGAATCCAGGACAGCTGGAGCTACAGGGAGACCCTGACTCAGAAAAACAAAACAAAACAACCACAAAACATTGTCCTGCCTTTCCTAGTAAGAGGGAGGGCAGAGAGTTTTCTTGTGTTTGCTTCTTTTAAGTCAGTTTCAGCTCAAAATAGTTCTTAGGTTAAATTAAAGTGTTATACTTTGTGGTAGCTTCACATGTAAAATTATTTGTGTGTAAGTAACAGACATATTTAAGAGGATTGGTTGCCTATGCAAAGTTAGATAAATTCACACATGGAGACACCTTGTAGGACTTGACTCTAAAAATGTGTTGGCGTTACATCAAAAGAAAGGTTGAGATGGATCCTCTACTATTTTCATTGTTAATATTATTGAATGAACCTAACAGTTTTTAGTCATTATGTGGAACTACATGGAACAATCAGGTTTCTCTTACATTATCACTGAGTATTATTGATTTGACAGGGATATTTGCTTAAGCGGCTAGGTAATCAAGTTATATATTCCAGGTCAAAAGTGAAGGAACCAAAATATAAAAGCAACATTTTCAGTCACAGTGTGCAGAGATTGCAGTATAAGAAGATAGATGTAGGACTTCTAACTGAAGACCACACGAGCT